ACGACAGTTTCGCGCGTCACTGTTTACTACCGGTGCCACCCCTTTTGGCGGTTCGAGGCGTGGTGGTATTTTTTAAGGGGTGCCAGCCGGTTTTTGGAAAGCAAATGATAGTAAGAACTCTACGGTTTTGTTTGAAGACTCGTGTTGGCTTTGGTTCCCTCATTTTCTTCTTTGTGTACCTTGAATTATGTTCTATTATGAAGACTCGGGTACCGTGAAGGTAAAATATATTCCCAGCTGTAATTTGAAATTTGAAAACACACGATTTATTAATTTTCTTATATATAATGCATTACACGACGTGCAATTACGTACCAAATATTTTATTTCATTTTCTCTTTACGCAAATCATTGACATTTTTGATTTTCGTGTATATTTTTATTTTACTATGGTATTCGAGAAGTAGAGAATGAATATATTGATATATAAATAAGTGTTATTGTTATTATAATATATATAATCAATTACCCATATAGAATAAACTATATAGAAGGACAAGTACGAAACTTGTTACTATTAAAGGTGCAACTCAAGCTTCCTCTACAAGGCGAACGAAAAATCCAGCGTAGCATTAGAAAGTACTTGATGCGTACTCGGTACTTTGAAATTTCGAAGACCCCTCCAGTAGGCTGCCATAGGTGCCCCCAGGTTTTTTTTCAGTATGAATGATGATGTATGGATGTTGGCTGGGCGCTAGGGGCTGGGTAAAGGGTTCCATTGTTACACACCCCCCTCGAGAACGAACCCTCTCTCTCTCTTCGCGGGAGAGGCCATCGTGAAATATTGCCGGCGAGCAACAAACTGCATTCTGCAAGCTGTATACTGTTAATTTTATGCCGGATTTTTTTACCCACTTCATCCATCCCTCCACCCTTTTCCGCTATTTCGCCCGTGCAAAGATCGTTACTGGTGGAATTCTTTATGTGCCGTGGGTTCGCTTTTAAATCACCCTTCCACACCGAGCCGAACTTTAATTCCGAAAAAATTTGCGGCATGTCTGATCCGTGGAAAGATTTGTTCGCGTTTAAATTCGAAAGGGAGAGATCGGATACGAGAAACACTCCTTTAACATTTTTATTTAAAATGTAATTATAGTATCGATGGAAAAAAGCGGTTCGATTCATTGTAACCTTCGTGCAGGCTCAACGTGTTTTTATTACACAAAGGAACTTTTGAATATGAATATGGGTTGCAACACGTCAGGCACGCGCAATATCCACCCCATTGTTCTTCCACGCATAAAGAGCTTTCCGCAACATCCTTTGATTCTTCTGCTTTTCATATGAATATGCATCCGTCTAATGCAGCTGGGGTTACACTTTTCATCGACATTTCGTCAACAACGTATATACTCTCTGAAGTACGATTACTATGTTAAATAATATCAACTTTATACTTTCAACCCTCTGTAATGTCACCTGACTGTGAGTTGATGCACGAGTACCTGTGTTCCTTAATACTCGTTTTATTTATTCTACTATCTGGTAGCATTACCAGATCCTTGCTATCGTTTTCTTATTTATTTAAGGCAATTATAAATCTTCGAGACGTTTTACATCGCAATGAGAAATCGTTGATAATTATAATATATTTCCTCGCGAGCAAACAAAGTTCCAGTTATGGAGATTTGACTCTCCATTTATTCCCTTCGTCTCGTTACATAAATAGCAGCTATACACCTTCAACACTGACCACGAGCGTGTAAGTAAATTTAATATGTACGTGAAATAAAAATTAATAGTGCCAGCGAAATAAACTTCAAGACAATATTAACTTTGTGAAAAGCAGCTGCAGGACTTTGGCAACTGCAAGAATAAAAAAGCCGAAACCGGTCATTTTGACTCGATTATTACAGCAAGTTCATTGTTAATACTGTAGCCATTCGATAAGAATCGAAGCTCGAGAAAAGCACCCCTTCTCGAATCTTACACGATCAGAACGTCCACGTGTTAATTTCTTCACGATCCAATCTCATCGAGAATGTGAAACCATAATTAATAACGTATGCTTCTAACACCACTATCATTGAGTCAAAATCAAATCTCGAGGAAGGAACTCTACACCATCGAGGCAGCTTGCATGTTAATTCCTTCGCAATCCAATGCTATCAGCTCAGAAAGTATACCTAAAAACCATTAGTCAATAGCAGATAAGTTGGAAAGATGGAATAAATCATCGAAAAAAGGATCGAAAAATTGTGATAAGCTAATATCGAGGTACATAATTGAGAAAAACAATGCAGAACCACGGTTAATGACGAATGCTTTCAATACAGCTATCATTGAATGAAAATCAGGGCTGAAGAAAGGTCCTCTACCCCTTCGTTTCTCAAATCTCACACGATCAAAACCCCAACGCGTTAATCTCTGCACGTTCCAACGTCGTCAGCTCGTCAAGTCTGCCCTGGATTCTACGATTCTGCAAACCTATTCGACAAAGACGAGGTAAAAGAATGGAATAGACGCGTGGAGGGCGAGAAGCCGATATCGGGGTAGGTTATCGAGGAGAACAATGCGGAACCACAATTAATAGGGCCTGTAATCGGACGCCAGACACGCGTCCCCGGGCGAAATATGCAAATTCGATCGGACACGGTTTTAGAAATTCGCCGCGGCCCTCCTCGTCCGCCAACAATGCGTGACTCCATCGACAATAGGAAATAATAAACCGTGATAAATAGCCGGGCAAATACGTACGACAATCGCGGATCTCCTTTCGTCTCGTCTCCTCCTCATCTCTCGCTACAGCCTCTCTCCCTTCCACGCGTTTCGCCCGCTTCCAGGTGGACTGATTCATATTCCCGAACAAATACGTTCGGCAAATATCGCGCGGGGGTTGATGGGGTTCTCGTGTGTGCCCGTGAGCAAATAACGGCGTTAATTTCCTTGCTCACGTGCCCCGTCGCGTTCCACTTTCCAACGACGTAATGGAGAAGAACGACGCCATTTTTCGCGGCTCACATTCCACTTTCTTCTGGATTGCAATTAAAATTGAAATTGAGTTTAAATTTGTTAAGGAGAGGATACGAGACATCTGGTGGAACAATCTGACGAAAGTAGTAATTACATTTCGTTCCAATAATTATTTTCTCAGATACACAGGAAATTGAAAGTCTTCGCGAAGGTCCTCACGTTCGATATTTTTCGAATTTTCATTTAGCTCGCGTGTCCTATAGAGTTTCATTTTCCAATAATTCTCGTGCACAGTGCTGTTTTGCACGGAACAAAATTAAATCTATCAAAATTTTCCACGTAAGGAGAAAAAGATGGCAGAGAATATTAGAAAAAGAACTCCGTAAATTCTCGTGTTTGTCTTCTTCTGAATTTTTATTGAGAATTCGTGTATACTTATTGAAACGTCATACTTTCGTGTGTTTTACGGTACATACGGAACACGTAATGAAACTGTTGCTATGCTCGACTATATTTATCCGAACGACGTAAACCCCGTGGATAGGAGCGAGACGGAGGTCCATTACGAGATGGCAGTTTTAGAGGCTTGAACCTTGAAGAGGCAGCACTAATCAAAAGTGGTCCACGGAGACAGATTGAGGGGCGTGCTGAAATAAATCAGCCCTTTGTTTTACGGCTTTAAAACGGCCGTTGGGGATTTCGAACGCGAAGTTACGTCCATTCATTAGAAACACCCCAGCTGCGAGGCCGAAAAGACTTGGTTGGCTCATTCAAAAACTCCGCGTAATCGTTGTTCTCTAATACGAATCATACCGTTACTCCCTCCCCTCGCGTCTGCACCCGCAGCTCGTCCGACCTTATGCAAAACTATTTTGCAAACCAATAACGTTCCATTCCGATTAGCAATGATAATTCCCGGAGTAAGCGAGTTAAACTCGGGGGTCGACGAATCGAAAGAGGCAAACGTGTTAACGATTCCTCCAAGGGAAAGGGTTAAGCGATGCATCGTGCTGGAAACGATCGGAATTAATGTTTCAGAGGCTCGTAACGGTGTCCCGTGAGACTTTCTCGATGAAAAGCGAGGATTCTCTGTATAACGACCTGTCTTGCCAGAACCTAATTCCCCTGCACCCCTCTCGCTCCGATCTCGATGACTAAGATAGGTTATTACCGAGATCGATCGTGGAAAATGGAATACCTCGATGTTCGAAGCTCCAGTTGGAAAATAGAGATAAATATTTTTCCAAATGTCACCTGCTATCTAATTATCGTCACAGCTTACACGTATCGCGATAGGGAATGTTAAAAATGGCAGTGGCGAGATAGAGAAAACACTATTGCTATTGTGCAGTCTGTTCTATTGTCAGTCATGCGTTAAAGACGTTCATAAATTCCTCAGACATTGTTATATAATTATACAGTGTACTGGCAATGGCGGAGATAAGTGGTCGTCGATAATTTATTTTTAAACAGAATCGCGCAATGTGCAACCGGTTAACCAACGTTTCGATTGTTGTTGCAAGACATTCCTAACTTTCTAAAGAACCTCGCGTTTTCAGAATCATCGGTTTCTAATACGCTATAGCGACGTTCCTCGGTCGTATCGGTCGAAGAAAACCCGATCGCTCGTTCTGGTATTAATTTCAACTTCGACAACCTCTTTAATTTCTTCCTGAGCCTGTCCCTAGACTCGAAACGTACGATTCTGAATTTCAATTTTCCTTTTTGGCAAAAATGCAAATAACACGGTAATAAATAATCGATACGTGTACAGCGACGAATCGAATGGCACAAAATGAAAAATCGAACCGGCCATCGGAGTTCCACGTAAACATCTACTTCGCAAGAGAATTCTCGAATAAATTTCGCTTCTCAGCGATTACGGGGGAAATTGAAATGGATGACGATACATTTTTTGAATATCGGCCGATAGTGTGCATCGATGAACCTGAGTGCAGTGCACAAGAATGCCCGATAATATATTATTATTGCGCGGGCGCGGGTCAATAATCGAGCACGTTGCCTGGCGACGGTGCTCCTGCTCTCTCTCAGCCTCCGGAATTTCTTCTTCTGCGACTAGTCCTGCAGCTGCGACGCGCAGAAGTCCAGCAACCTTCGATACATCGGCATCGGACCGGTTTCATCTATCCTGGCTTGAACACGCCGCTCCCTGGTGAGTCCAATCCGACAATTTCCAAAGAAATTCCTCGATTCGTCACGTAAATCGCGTCACTTTCCCATATATTCGCATTCGTTCGACCTCTGCTCACCTATCAACTCGTTTCGCCCTCGAACTTGCTCAAATTCGAGGTAAAAATCCCGCTATCTTCGTCGGGTGTCGATGATAACCGAAGAGTTAGGTGAGGAACGTGGAGTGTCAGAAGCTTTAGTAATCGTGTCGAGTCTATTAATAAAGAAACGAAGATTTTTCATTGTCACGAACTCGTTTCATCTTTGAATTTGGTGAAATTACAAGTGATAGACCCATCATCTACCTAGGGTGTTGATTACGAAGATTTTTCATTGTCACGAACTCGTTTCATCTTTGAATTTGGTGAAATTACAAGTGATAGGCCCATCATCTACCTAGGGTGTTGATGACAGAAGCTTCGGTATATGCGTAAATTCTATCAACAAAGAATCGAGGATTTTTCGTTAAATTTAATTATTCATAGTGTATAAAGACTCTGTTCCTACGTAGGACGTGTGCAATTTTAATTGGTTTAATCCCAACTCCTAAAGTGTACACATAAGATCACTAAATGTAAATTCCCAGTCCCTTCTCTTGTCCTACAAATGATTACCATGTAGACACAAATTGTGGAATATCGGAGTAAGTAGAAAGGATTTAGTCCGTGTATCTGAATCGTGCACTTTGGTATTATGCTTGCTTGCAGCTTAATGGTTCAGTTGACCAGTTATGTGGAGGAAAAGTAGACGTCTAGCGAACTCCCAACCCTGTGAAACAGAGACCAAAAGTGAATGCGATAAACGCGATAAACAGAGATTCCCGGGGCTACGTTCGATCGAGAATAACTTGGAGAGAGTATGCGGCTTTGAGTTGAAGGATCTTTCGTCTTTTTCAAGATTCACCGAGCTTTTGTACCGACCCACTGATCCAGCCAGCTTAGGCGTTATTAGGGCACTTTTCGGTGAGCAATTACCATATAAAAATAAAACACAATTAGATATTAATTTCGTCATTATATGTACAATTTTTACGATATTATAAGAATTACACGTTTAATTTGACATTTAATAATATTGCAAAATTTTTGTAGAAAAGTAATTATCATAGGGAGAGGTGTTAATTTATGGATTTTAAAGATTGTAATAGAATTTTTGTGATTTCCATGTAGGATTATGTATGGTTCTGGATATCGTGGAGGAACGAGGGTTAGGAGACATCGACATAAAATGGGGAGATCCCATGGATTGCCATTTTCCGCTAATTCACGGCATGAAGGCTCCGCCGCTGCCATGGATGATACTAATTTACGCGATTATGTGGATGGGTGCTTTTGGAATTATGCTCGGCACGCGGTTCAAAATAGCCTGCGCCTGTTTCGTAATTCCATACTGGTACATCTTCCTGCTGGATAAGAGCTACTGGAACAATCACACGTATCTCTATGGAATCGTTGGCGCTCTCTTCTGGGGTACGGAGGCTAACAAGTACTTGTGAGTTTGAAAGAAAATTTGAATGGGAGAAATCAGGATCACCAAATATTTCTAAAACGGAGATTTCTTAGCTTAAAAAATTAACAAAAGTCCTTTTTAATTTAAAAAAAAAAGAGTAGAATTGTATTGTTTAAAATATCTAATTTTGCAGTTATCGAAGTCTGGAAAATTCCACGTTTTATTATTAACTTAACGCTGAATGCGTAGACCTGTGAAGTGTATTTGAATATATTGTGCACGAATTGTAACAATAACGAAGTGCACGTTAATATTATCAGAAAGCAGCTACATATTTTCAATAATTATAAAAATATTTAACAATAGAGTACGATATAAAACTTCAAGCAGGTTAGAGATTAATAATTCGTCTTTTTGCAGTGCATTGGATGCTATGAAATTGAAGGAAACAGAGCGTAGAGTGCCTCTATGGAATTATTTCATTCTAAAGTTCCAATTCTTCGCTCTGTATTTCATAGCTGGATTGAAAAAGTCTGGGACGGAATGGTTGTCAGGTTACGCGATGACGAATTTATCGAGGCACTGGGTCTTCAGTCCGTTCAAGTAGGTGATAATTGAAAACCGATTTAGCCCGGCTTCGAAAATAAGTATATTGTACTCTTATCGAAAGTATAGAATTTTTACAGTAGATTAAACGTTGCACAATTACAGATTATTCTTGACCACCGAGCAGACTGATTTTTTCATAGTTCACTGGTTTGCATTTATCTTTGACCTCACGGTTGGATTTTGGATGCTGTTCGGTAAAACACGTATCCCTGCGATGGTCGTTTGCACGGCTTATCACTTAATGAACTCCAGATTATTCAGTATTGGTAAGCACTCCATTACCATTACCATTTTTCACGGTAACTTCGATCGGAAACTGGAAGTTTCGAAAGTACCATTAACTTCGGTATTCGTGAAATAAGTGGAAATAAAATCTCACAAATTTTATTACCATTAATTCTCAATCCTTTCAGGGATGTTCCCATACGTGTGCCTCGTGACCATGCCACTGTTCTGTGACCCAGACTGGCCACGAAGACTCAGAACCTTCGTGAAAAATAACTACGTTCCTTCGTTTTTCACGAAAAATCGGGATTTCAAAAGCCACGATAAAGCTGCCATAGATCGAGCAAACGAATCGTGGGACGAAAGAAATAATCGAACGAGCAAGGAGTCGTCGATCGCTGATGCAGATCGAGAAGGTACAAATCCGACAGACCCTACGATCACTCGTAAACGTGCGAGGGAAATCTGCAGTAAATCGGCTAAAGTGACGAAGAAGCAAAAGTTCGTAGTTTCTCTGTTACTATTCCATGTATTCTTGCAGTTTTTCTTACCATACTCTCATTTTATCACGAAGGTACACTAACAATAACTTCCTGATTACACCGAAATCCGTGGATATAGACATTTCGATGATCATCGACTCGTTTTCTTTTATCGTTGTCAGGGTTACAACAATTGGGTACCAGGAATGTATGGGTACTCGTGGGACATGATGGTCCACGTTTGGGACACGGTACTCGTTGTAATTAAAGTCCACGACAATGTGAGTAACGAGGATCGTTATTTGGATCCTAAAGCATGGGTGCAAAGCAATCGATGGGAAAAACACGGCGATATGGTCGTGCAATACGTCTCCTGTATAAGAGTAGGTGTTATCTTTATCGAAGCAGTCGTATCATCGATCGATGCGATCTTCGAAAATAATTATCGATAAATAAAAGTAGACTTAAATCGTTGAAAACACGATTGAGAATTCTCGTGTCGTTTAACGTGTTAGAGAATAATTCGACATTTGCAGGATAATTTAATTAAACAAGAGAATCAGCTATTGGAGAACGGTCACCAACGCGCGAAGAAGACAAAATGGCCACCACTGTCGTCCAACTTGAGCATCTATATCGACGTGTGGTGCTCGCTCAATGGAAGATTCCAACAGAGAATGTTTAATCCAAATGTTGACATGCTAACTGTAGATTGGCACCCGTTTAAGCCCATTTCGTTCTTAATGCCACTTCTGTCGCAATATAATTCTTACCGGTACCAGTTGGCTTCCTTTACACGCGAAATTCATTTAGGATGATTTAACCCTTGAAAGCCGTCCGCCATAAATGTTACTAAAAGCTAACTCGTTCCTCTGCGTTTATAGCAAAGAACTTAGGATAGTATTGACATTACCGATAGTGTCAATAAATAGCCATAAAATTGACACCGAGGAACTACCAGTAGTTTATTAATCAAATTTTACCTAGTATTCGAAGGGATTAGTATTCAAGGGTTAATTCCATCGAATAGGTTAAGAGTATATTTTCTAATCGTGGAATTTCAAGTTCTGCTTTTTATCCAGATACAAACTGGAAGAAATTCAGCAACACGTTTACGCGTGGTCCAACGACACCGACGTCCTCTTCGTCGCCGACTTTCCAGGCATGCACCTGGACAATTACATCGCCAAAAATTTAACCAACGTCACTCTGTCGGTACTGGAAGGCGAGGTAACCTACAGCGACGAAAAACAACCATACGACGTCGTGATCGCGAAAGGTTCCTCGATTCCGATACAGACAGGTCAATTTCATAAAGTGACGACGATCAGCGCCTATCCAGCCTGCTACATGTACACTTGCACCAAGGGAAACGAGCAGCAATCGGAAACTGATGGGTATTTAAAAATTTGAGGCAATTTCGTATTCGCAAGTCAAGTAGATTTCATGCATTCACGGCAAAAATAATAGCAAATATTTTCTTGAAGCGAATTTAAAAATTGCACGGTGTATAACGATTATCGAGTATATGTGAATGAAAAATTTACACACTGGTCTCTTTGCAGAATAATGGAACCGGAAGAACCGACAGAGCCTTCCACCATCTTGAAGGAAATTAATTACAAGATCGACGCGTGGATAAGAGCGTTGCATCACATGGCAAACGCATTTTTCTATTTGGTATATGACGTTCCCATGGTGAGAAGGGTGCAGATCAGTAAATAACGCGATTGATTACAACCCTGATAATCGGAAATGATGCTCACTCGTCTCGATCGAGTGGTTTAACTCGAAAAAATAGGCGGGAAGGAACAAAAATTAATTTTCTTACCTATCCAAGTAAAATTGTGATACGATCTCGGTAAACGAGCGTCACCTAAAATAAGCAGGATAAAACAAGCACGTAAATTCGACCTCGATTTCGCCCTCGAGGCTGTCCGAGAAGAATCTTCACGGACACGACGAGTATTTCAGATGCAAAGAAGGCGAAACGTAATCGCGAAATGAGTAAGGTGAATCGCTGGCGTTGCGAGAGCTGCGATGAAGATAACACCGTAAAATCTCACGGCCGCGACGTGCTCGACGTTCGAGCGTCTATTATTAATCCCTAATAAAAAGATAGTGGACAAAGTCGAAGACACTGTAATCGTAACTATGTCAACTCGTCTACGCTCCTCTCGCCGAACCGATTCATCTCAGCGTCTAATAATACGCTCGAATCGCTCCTTTCCTGTCAGCCCAATCGCAATCGGTAAACCGCGGCGCGAAATTAATCTCAAGGACGTCGAACTTGCGATTAAACACGTGCGACCATGCGGCCGCTGATAAACCACGAAGATGGATGGTCAACAGCCTCCCTCGATCCAACGTCGCGAGTCACTGTAAAAATCGACGGGAACCCAGAGGAACGAGGGTTTCGTCGATTTGCGACCAGAATAAAGAATAAAAAGACATCCCTCTGTTCGTTAATCGAAAACGGCGTAGCCCTTTGATAATTAGAATTTAGTATAGAATGGAGAATTATACTTGGAGAAGGAAGGTGAGACTTTGGTTGCAGAATCGAGAGGAAAGAATCGACGAGGAGGAACGGTCTGTCGGCAGAACTATTTATTTCGCAATCGATCTCTCTGGCACTCGAAGCATTTCACGGCCACTGCACTGGAGTCTTCGCAGAGCTGATCTTCGACGAGATAACAGACACCCAACGTCACCAGCGACGACTCTTTCGTGTGTTTACGGCTTAACACGCGGGCAATTAACACCTCTCTCCCCTCCTCGTGCCCTCGTAACGCCTCGCGAATCGTACGCCTACGTTAATCGCGCGAATTTGATAGCTCGTTTATCGTGGTAATAAGCTTTCTCGTCTGATAAATCGTAAGTAAATGCATCCGTTCTATCTGGTAATTGTACCAGTGGCGTAACCACCTCGCCGCGTCGCCTAGGCGCTCACGAGGACCGCAATTCCGAGCCGCGTGGCACTCGCCGCCATTGCGCAACCACGAACGTGCTGCCACCTGCTCTCTTCGCTATTTTCGTCCGAGCATCGTCCGACGTATTCGTCGTACCGACAATTTTCTAATTCCTCCACGACTTAACCTTACCTACGACTGCTTCGATGACTGCTTCATTCCAGTCGCGCGTTCAAAGCCGTACGCGTATGCAGATACGAATGCGCGAAACACCGTCTGCGACATCGGTAATTAAGAATTAATTTATTCCGTTTCATAAACGTCGCCGATAACTCTAACGAGCTATAAACAAGTTTTCAATCGGACTGGCGCGAGTGCGGAAACCTGTCCGACTGGAATGAAGCTGCGATAGAAAAATGGAACTTTCGAGGTAAAAATCGGAACGAACGAGTTAAGGGGGAAGTATGGGAAATTTTGAACGGTGTTATACGAGGTCGGACGGTGAATGGAAGAATGGTAGCGAATCGAAAGAGGAAGTAAGGGCTTATGGGACGTAACAATGCATCGTTTAGAAAACGAGGACACTGACTCAAGTGAGTCAGCTGGGGTTATCATTATCGTACGATGGCCATCTGAATCGGTACGCGTAACGTCGCATATGACCATACCTGATTGCAAACTTGCTTATCTAGATACGTGGTGGAGGAAACAGCACTGTCGATCGTCAGTCGCTCGCACACGATCGCACGGAGACCTTCGGATCGAAGAAACGTCGAAAAACTTGCTGGAAGCGCGTTCCCGTTCGTGAATTAATCGCGAAATCGGCGAGAGCGGATCGACATAGAAAAATTGTGATTTAAAATTACGAAATCGAGTTGGAATCGTGTGCGAAATTACTACCGGGGTAATTGCAACGTGATGACGAGGAAATATTACCGATAAGACGTTTCTACAAATTTTGCGAATATTCGCGGTACTTAGATAGAGTGATGAGAGGAAATATACGTTTATAAATGAAACATTGATCGATTTTACGACGTAATTTTACGGTGAAGAAATTTAACAACCGGTTAGCAAATTCTTCTTTCTTTTCGGTTTTCCTCGTAGCATTTATAAAGCAATATTGCAAACAGTCGAGACTACGCTTTCACGAACGTTATGTACCGAATATATCACGTTGATTAAAACGAAATTATTGAATCTTTATTTCGCAAAACTGAGAAATTATTTACCTTGTCTCGTTTACAGAGGAAAACATGTCCACTGATCAAGATAACGAGACAGTAAAAGCGAAAGCCACGGATCCTCTTCTGGAGGCGTTGGACAGACTCGGTTGTGGGTCCAACTTTTTATGGATAATATTCATTTTTACTCTCACACCGACGATATTCAATGGAATGCACTCCATGTCCTATATTTTTATAGCAGAAGTAAGATTAACTTATCTACCGGCGAATATTTGTACACGAGGAATAAATTCATTTCCGCGAGTGAACGACACTTAGTAATTTTACTAACTTCGATATCACCTTATTCTTTCCTCCAATGAAGAATTCGTCGACAAATTTCGTACGACGTTACGGTGAAATAAAAATCGTTTCTTATAGGTTCCTACTCATTGGTGTGCGATACCGAACTTGACAGCCGCTAATTGGACTGACGAAGAAATAAGGAACATCTCTTCGCCGAATCCATGCCAGATGTACAATTACGATTACGGACATTTTGCCACCATTGGATTCGAAGAAGCCCTGGAATACAAGCTTCTGCAGCCTTTGCCCGAGTCGATCTCCTGCGAAACGAGGAGTTTCGCCAACGACATCGATGGCACTTCGCTCGTGCAAGATGTGAGTGTCACGTTCCACTGATTAGGTCACGTATACGTAACACAATTACCCGACGTTGCTTCGTGCTCTATTTTCCCCAAACTACCCTTATTCTTGTCAGAAAACTCGCTTCCGTTCCGTTCGATACCAGCAGCGACATCTGTTGTCTGCACCGTATAGCCAATTCCTGATTTCCAATCACAGGTTAATCGGTATTCGCATCGGAGACTCTATATTCAGACCTTCGTGGAATTAGATTTCTGAAAGTCAATTTATGTTTAGAAACCGTATTTTTAAAAACTCGTATTATTTTATGATATAATCGTTCTTAAAAAGTACGGTATATTTATAATGTCAACATCTTCGACTCGGGAATTTTTCGATTCGAATGTCAAACAAATCCAAGATAATTTTCCAGTTTCTTCTAGTTTCCAATGAGAAGCTACTCGAAATCGAAGGTTTTATTTTAAAAGAAAAAGAATTATAAAAATTCGTGGATTCATTCGTGTTGGAAACTAGATAACAAATTATAGATTACTAATATCTCCAATCGGGCGTCAGTTTAGTGCGAAAGATTAATATTGTATTGCAATAATAATATAATCGTAATAAATAATATTATTATTATCATATCTATATATATTTTAAGTAAGACTGAACAAAGAAGGTGTTTGGTTAAACAGTGGAATATACATGTATAAAAAGACAATGCAAAAGAATTCTAGAAGACTCTCCTCTCTTTTCTCGGCCTCTCGCTACCTCTCTTCAGACGATTGTTCCTCGCTTCCCCTAATTGCCCTCAAAAACTACCCTCACCCCTTTGGTCTCCAAAAATACCGCAGATCCATCGGTGAACTGTTCGTAGACGAATGTTTTCGTCTTGTTTTTCACTAATTTCGTCTCGCTTTCCGTTCCATGGCCCTTTTTCGCTTATGACGAGTGCATTATTCTGCTACAATTTTAATTAAAAACGATTACAGTGGGACCTGGTTTGCGACAGAACCGCGGATCGTTCGAGCACCCACATGGCCCTGTCCCTTGGGAAACTTCTGGGTAGCGCCTTCTTCGGCGTTTTCGCGGACAAGTATGGCCGGAAGATTTGCTACGTTATCGGTATCGTAATGCTGATCATCTCTGGTCCAGCAGGCGCATTCGTGCCCTGGTACTGGGGTTTTATAGTCTCCAGATTAATTAACGGCGCGAGCCACGCAGCTATTCAGTATTCCTCTTTTACGACACGTAAGTTGCACTCTGAGATATATAGCGTTTTAATTACGAAGCACGCGTTAATTCGATACCATCGGAGATCGTTGAAGGTGCACGATTCTTCGTTAATTTTACGCTTCTCGAAATTTCAGCGGTTTTCACGATTTATTTCCACAATTCTGACACCTGGTAGCTCTGGGATATCTTTTTAAGACCGATTTATTGAGCAGATAATATTGTATATTTTTCATCCTCCAGTTACAGAAGTGGCGAGTGAAAAGCACAGACAATGGATGGGAATTGCGTATAACATAGGCTACGCCACAGGAATAGTTATTATACCGGGTGTAGCTTATTTGCTGCACGAGTGGAGGCACATTCAATTAGCCATATCGTTACCAGCTTTGCTGTTGCTGATACACATGTGGTAAGTACGTTGTTGCATAATCCCGAAGATTTTCGAACGATCAAAATGGATTAGAGAATCGTGCAGCTTATCATCTTGGAAACTCGCTAAGATAACGGGATTGAGAAGTTACTGCTTGCACCTTCCTGATTTCTAGAAGCTATTGACAGAAATGGAAGGTTCTTAGTCGAAATAGGGAAGTCGGAGAATTAGACAAATGTGAGAAATTGATCTTTATTTATTTAACGTTTATTTTTCACAGGTTCATGCCAGAATCTCCGCGATGGCTGATCGCCCACAATCGTCGACAGGAGGCGAAGAACTTGATCGATAAGGCGTCGAAAAGAAGCTCCAGTGCAACGATGACCACGTCGCTGATGTCGAGCATACAGAGGCAAGAACTGAAAGATTCGGATGACTTAATGCTCACGCCGAAAACCATCGATGTAAAGGACTCCAGCGAAGAGAGGTTGAATAACAGTGTCAAAGGATTTCGAGTGCTGATCAGCAACAGCGAATTGCGAAAGAGGATACTAATTACGAATTTTACCTGGATGACGGCCTCGTTATCTTATTACGCGTTAGGTAACCAAACGATGCAAATTTATTCGCGCGAATGCTCAAGAAACTGTCTCGTTTCAATTATACTTTGTAATTCTGCTTTCGCTTCCATTCGACACGTTTAATTAACGATAAATTGTCGTCGCAGCGTTGAACCTCAGTAACTTCTCGACAAATCGCTACATTTACGTCCTTGTGATGGGTCTGACCGAGATTCCCGCGTACCTGATACCAACCCCGATTTTGATGGTCATGGGACGACGACAGGGTAGCGGAGCCTTGTACATCATCGCAGCGTTGTGTCTACTTTGTATCCTCGCGATACCAACAACAGAAAGCGACGCGATTATGATCATATCCTTGATCGGGAGGTTCAGCGCCTCAGCTGCTTATGGCATCGTTATTCTTTACAGCTCGGAGCTCTTCCCTACGGTAAACACGTGTCTAAGCATTACTGCTTCTATTTCGAGTCATGTCAAAAAGTTTAACGCCAATTCTGAAGATTCTAATAATTATAAGAGAGGTCCTGCAAGTTTGCCTATGACGTTGTCATTCTACACAGTTCAGAAATTTGTTGAGGCATATACGTATATAAAATACGATTATTTCCACTTCAAACTATAGTCAGAGGGTTAAGCTTTGTTCGGACTAATTGCGAAAATTACAGTAGATCGTGATCAGCTCCTCGATTAAGGGGATCTACACGCCGGACGTCTATGCCATACATCGCACAGCTCGGAGCTTTCACCTCGATAAATATGACCAACTTGCTGCATCAAACTATACTTAAAGCATTAGACTTCGTTAACATTAATCACGAAGATTACGATATTATGTCACCCGAGATATTCGTCAGCTCTGGCCAGGAACTATTACAAGAGGCTCAGCTGTTAGCTGCCTCTGACACCGTTTCCTGGCGAACGTATACACGAACACCATTCTTCCTACTTCGAACATTACTCGAAACTTCAAATTCCGAAAATTATAAAAATCGGCAAATAATTCCTTCCTGTCGCGAGATATTCATAAACACCATACTTCTATCCTGTAATTACATCCAATAGCAAATTTCAAATAGGTCGACGCTAGCCATTAATGTCACCCACATTATATCTTTCTAATTTCCTTAATTTTCTTCGAGAATTGATTTGTAGCGTCAAAATTCAATTACAAGAGTATATCCAACTCTCCTACCACCGTCTCTTAATCGACTAAGTTTCTTTTTCGAACAGGTCTGCAGGAACTCCGCGGTTGGTACGAATTCCGCGATGTCCCACATCGGAAGCGTGGCCGCTCCTTACGTGGCTGATTTATTAGGGGCCCTGGTGTGGTGGGGCCCGACCACTCTTTGCGGCAGCTTGGCGCTAGTCGCGGGCCTGTTGTGCGCGGTTTTGCCAGAAACTCGCGGCAGGCCGCTGGCTAACACCGTCGAAGAGGAAGTGACGGAAGAACGAGACAACGTGTCGCTCTACAACTGCTGCAAATGTCGATGAAACGATAGCGACAACGTGTTCTCGCGTGTACCACCGATGTATCCTACACTGCTTCCGTACGAGTATTCGTTGACACGGGTACACACGAGTGCGCCTTTTGTTTTCTGTATACTCAATCGTTTAAATTGCCATCAGCTCCGAGGTGACTCGAGCGTGATGTTATTTTTCAAAGCTAGTAGATTTAATTCCGAGCGAGGAGAGAAATAAATTCGTACTGAGTTATAGTACACCGATCCTTTGGCTTTCTTTCGTTTCTCTGTACCCCCTCGGCGAAGATCCGATTGATCTGTGAATATTGTAACCATGTATATTAATCGATAGAACCTAACGAGTTTCGTTAACTATCTCGTAATTATCCCGATGTTTATTGCCGGTTATGTAACATCGCTGGTCATTGTAATGGTACGTAGCCGTGTGCATACAGCGTTGATATACAAACATGTTATTTCCTAATCCAAACGTAATATTTCCGCTGATTCGAATCTGAAACGTCCGCTGTCAATTTCCTGCGCTTCACGCTGTCAAAGTAAATCGCAAAGTGACCGAAGGCGGTGATATAAAAGTAAGGCGAAGAAACGTGCCAAGAATTAGTTTCGATCCGGAGAAGATTCGACGGAAATTTCGAACATGAAGAACTCGTACCTCGCCTGGTTTGTCCTGTGCTACGTAAGAATATATATAAATCTTGCTCGTGAACGATGTACGTGTCATTTCAAAATGAATTTTCCACCTCAGGGACTTTTCAGTGGAAATTTCATCGCGTCGCGTGCTAGTAGCAAGGCTGACTATGCAGAAGTTACAGAAGTGTGCAGGGAGCGCATGAACATATCTTTTGGTGAGCAAATCGTTACGTAATAACCGATCTTTTATCTACATCATCAATAACGAAGTCTGAATTCGTTATTTCGTTAATAATAAAATTGTCGAAACTATTGCAGATGATTTGGATGAAATTGAAAATACGTCAGAGGGGTTAACGAAACTGATAAACAACGACGGAGAGTTCAAGAACTATGCTTGCTACGTAGCTTGCATTCTACAAGAAAGTGGCTGGGTAAGAGAAAGCACGTATGCAAATGCGACGAAGAGATTAACACGTATTTCCGTTCGTTTTCGCATCAGATGTTAGGGAACGTTATCGACGTCGACACAATGAAGGTCGATTTAGAAAACTGGGAAATCGAAGACACGGAAATCAAAGCGAGTTACGATGAAACATTGGAAACGTGTATAATCCCGGGTAAGCGTGTTTATTTCCCACAGATGTGTTCACGTCTAATTGATAAAAATAATGGACGTTTCAGTTGCCGAGGCGGACGACGAGTGCGACGTGGCTCTATCCTTCTATGTGTGCTCCCTAAAAATTATCCACGATTTGTGAATCCAATTATACTTGATTTGCATTTATCCAGTGATAAATATTATCGATAATAATTATCTCGATTGTTATTATTATTATTATGAGTAAAAAATAAGGTTTGGAAATTTTTGGAATTAGTAAATTCTATATGATCGAAAATGAATTTCATTATTAATTAAACCCTTCTCCCTAATAACAATACAAACACGATTCGAATACCCCGTTTAAATAGGCTCAATAGCATGCGAGATAAAGCTAATCAGAAACCTAGATACGATCCCTATGCGTTCTAGAACAATTAGATTATGTTCCCGGATTTGTCATATGCTCACGACTGTTGTTCCTTCGCGCACTTCCTACAAAACGCGTACATGTCGAGCCAGAAATTTAGAATCGCGTCCTACTCGGTCTCGAGATTCCACATACTGCTAAGGTACCGAATAAATATTCTAATAATAAATTCGAATCGACGAAGAATCGTTCATCTTTAACGTTAACAATCGCAGTTTTATTCAACAACGACTTCTGACGTTCATTCTGGTTATCGGATTCGTTGCATTCCTGATGTGGTCGTCCCATGTATTTTTGGTGACTCTGAATTCCAAGATTGCGGAGCCCGACGACGACGTCGGAAATGTGACCAACGAATTTGACACATTGAAGAAATCGTCCGGGGTTGGACGAACGTTGGACAGCAGGATCGGTGGAAGAATGTCGCCGAGCTACTGCAAGATTGGCAGCTGCGACGCGATAACCTGCTCGTCTATCCCAAACGGAGCTAATTCTGGAGCACTGGTGTCGAGCTTCATCGAGAACGACTTCAAGGTATTGGAAATGCAACAAACAAAATCAACTTTTAGCTTCGTGTCTTCGATTTGCAATCGTCTAAGCGACAGGTTCTCCTACATGCTTGTATTATATATCGTGTACAATACATTATACTACGTCTCGCGTAGGCTAACTGCAAGGACGAGAGTTCCGTGAAGTTGTCATTCGACAACTGCAAATTCCCCGAGGACACGCTTCGAAGGAACTGGCTGAGCACCAACTTGTCGATCGAAAGGTTAGCTTTCAGCCACTGCTCCCTCAGCGAAATAGAAGATGACGCGTTTTCCTCGCCCATTTACCAAGCGACGAAGAACCTCATCCTGGTCAACAACAAACTCGTCTCTTTGCGCAGAGCGATGTTTCGTCACCTTGAAGCGTTGGAAGAGTTGAGTATCCAAGAGAACATCGTGAAGTCGGCCGAACTGAATCTGCTCGAAGACGTGGCGGGTTCTTTGACCATCCTGGATCTGAACCACGTTATCCAGGATCGAGAGGTACTTCGGAACGTAACTGGCGGAAACACCTTGTCGAAACTTCGAATACTGTGTCTATCGGGAAACAGCATATCTATGATCGATGCTAGCTTGTTTGTCGGGGTACCGATGGTGATATCGGTCTACCTGCACGACTCGAATATCGCGACAGTGTCGCAGAATGCTCTAGACCCGATGGCTTCATCCATACAGCAAATGACGCTGTATAAGAACCGCATCGCTTCTCTACCAGAGGGTCTGCTAGACTCCGTGATGAGATCTAATCAGCCCTTCCGATTGCACATACACGACAATCCTTGGTACTGCGACTGCAGCTTGAAATGGTTTCAGGAGCTCATCCTGTCTTCGAATATAGTGGCAACTATTCCTACCTGTGAATCGCCTCAAACGAACGCTGGAAAACTCTTCACGACCGCGGAGTTCTGCCCCCAGTCAACCTCCACGGAACTTTCCACCTCGATCAAAACTACCAACGACGATTGGACATCAACCAGCCAGACCTTGCCTAGTACCACCACCAAAAACTTCTGTAACCTGACTATACTGCAAACCGCGAATTCGCGTAAATTATTATCAACCGAAATGCTGCAGGTCCCATCGAGGTTTCCCAATTTCTACGTTTCCAAGACCTTCGACAGTAGCATTCTGGTGAACCTGCCGAGCCTGAAGGACGGAGTCACGCTGCTCTGGTTCGACAACAAAGACGTCGACAGTTCGCTCCGCTGTGCGCGAAACGTGAAGCACTCTTATCTGGTAAAGAATATCGATCCGCAGACAACGTACACGATCTGTTTGGTCGACGATAACGGGTACACGGTGTCCCCGTTGAACTGTTTGGCCGTGGCTACCAAACCCACTTACAAGTTCAGAACCTGGCTGACGAACGCTGACAAAAGCTTGGTCCTGCCGTTACTGATTTCGTTGCTGGTCCTGTTGTTCCTCGTCGGCGGTGTGCTCTCGTTCCTGCTTATAAGGAGACACCCATCG